AAATAATTCTTCTGAGACTTTCATGAAGCAAAGAAGACATCAAAGATACAAGTTGATCAGATGATTTTGCAGAAATGCAAGCTTGATAGCATAAGTTGCGACACTGATATCCAGAGATAACCCTGGCAATAAATGATAAAGTGAAGGAAGACCAAGTTCACCACTTTGAAGTCAAATGAAGATTGCACCAACATTCATGCATTCATAAGAATATCATTTACACAATAGACAATGCATTACATTGATACATCTGAGTGCATTCAAACATGAAGTTTTACAGATCTTCGGAAGAACAAGAAGATTCAGGGTAAAAAATACTTTATATGAAGAAGGTATTCAAAACCACAAATACAGGAATCATGAAAACATCTGAAGAAGAGATGGATGCAATCCACAAAAATGAGCATTATTGTGAGATTGAGGCATGTTACCCAATCAACATGTTATTTTGAAAAATAATGAGAAAATGATTTCCATAGTTTCTCATTCAATCTTTTCTAAAAATGATATTGTTGAAAAGTAAGAAAATGATTTCCTTAGTTTTTTTAAACTATTTCCCACATCTGTAAGTCCTTCAGTGCATGATGTTTCCAAAAAGCCTTCGGGAGCTTTTTGATGTTTTCAAAAACCTTCGGGTCATCTGTAAGCCCTTCAGTGCATGATGTTTCCAAAAAGCCTTTGGGAGCTTTTTGATGTTTTCAAAACCTTAGGGTCATCTGTAAGTCCTTCAGTGCATGATGTTTCCAAAAAGCCTTCGGGAGCTTTTTGATGTTTTAAAACCTTAGGGTCATCTGTAAGTCCTTCAGTGCATGATGTTTCCAAAAAGCCTTTGGGAGCTTTTTGATGTTTTCAAAGCCTTAGGGTCATCTGTAAGTCCTTCAGTGCATGATGTTTCCAAAAGCCTTCGGAGCTTTTTGATGTTTTAAACCTTAGGGTCATCTGTAAGTCCTTCAGTGCATGATGTTTCCAAAAAGCCTTCGGGAGCTTTTTGATGTTTTAAAACCTTAGGGTCATCTGTAAGTCCTTCAGTGCTTGATGTTTCCAAAAAGCCTTCGGGAGCTTTTTGATGTTTTCAAAACCTTTGGGTCATCTGTAAGCCCTTCAGTGCATGATGTTTCCAAAAAAGCCTTTGGGAGCTTTTTGATGTTTCCAAAAAGCCTTCGGGAGCTTTTTGATGTTTTCAAAACCTTCGGGTCATCTGTAAGCCCTTCAGTGCATGATGTTTCTAAAAAGCCTTCGGGAGCTTTTTGATGTTTTCAAAACCTTCGGGTCATCTGTAAGCCCTTCAGTGCATGATGTTTCCAAAAAGCCTTCGGGAGCTTTTTGATGTTTTCAAAGCCTTCAGATCATCTGTAAGTCCTTCAGTGCATGTTTCCAAAAAGCCTTCGGAGCTTTTTGATGTTTACAAAGCCTTCGGGTCATCTGTAAGCCCTGCAGTGCATGATGTTTCCAAAAAGCCTTTGGGATCTTTTTGATGTTTTCAAACTCTCAGGGTCATTTATAAGACCTCTGGGCAGAATGTTTTCAACATTTCCATATTACTCAAAATAAGCTAAATGAAAAAATTATTGTCTTTTTCGTCTTTGCTATATTCTTGTTAACACAAGAATGAGCAAAGAGGGGCAGCTGTAGACACTAATTTTTATTTTACTTAAATTATTATTATTATTATAAATATTATTATTATTATTATTATTTATATATATATATATATATATATATTTTTTAAATATATACAAACCCAAAAATGAGGCTCGATTACAACCAGCCAGAAATGGCCCAAACAGATGACCCAAACCCTTTTGGGTTTGTAACATATCAGCTAGGGTTTTCTAACCCTAGCCCCCCGCGCTGCTTCCAGAAGCTCCCAGCTGCCACGCGGCGCCGCCTCTACCATTGCCTCATCCCCTGCTGCCAAGTGCTCCAACCAGCCACTGCCGACGGTCAGCCGCCCCACGTCGCTACCTCACTGCCACGACACCCATCGAAGCTCCCAGAGGAGTCATTCCAGCCGTCCACGCATCCCATTCTTCGTGAGTCACCACAGTTCGGTGACTCACTAGAAATCATCTCTAGGACCAGTCCGACGAGAGCCTCGGTGGTGGCTATAAAAGCCACCACCCTGCAAAGAGAAGGAGGGACAGCCACGAAAACAAAGGGAAAACACAGACAGAAACGAAAAGAGCACAGCAAATATAAACGAGACACCACGAGAAGAAAAACTACCAACGATCTTAGTCAACGACGAACCAGTATAAAAAAAAAAGAAGAGAAGAGAGAGCTTACTTTGTCATCGGAGGCACTCGAAACATCACCGGAAACCTTCGGATTTCTAAGGTAAAATCCTAGATCTAGGAATTTCTAAAGATTTTTAGGACAAATAGAGGCCGTATTCGACCTTAGGATGTAGAGATCTACAGTTTGGGCTAATTTTCCTAACTCCGGCCACCGTGAACGGTGGCCGGTAGTGGTGGTCGATGGTAGAGTAAGGCTGCCGGTCGCTGGTCGGCCAACCTCCGGCGGGAAAAAGGAAGAGAGAGGCGAGAGAGTTTTTCTTCTCTCTCAAATAGAGAGAGAAGAGGAAAGAAGCGAATGAAGATGCTGGCCCGTAGGGCCAGCCGTTTAGGGTTTATAACCCCTCCCCCATACGACGTCGTTTAAGGGGAGGGGTGTGTGTGTAATTTCTATCAGGGGTAAACCCTGTCAGCAGTCATTATAGTTTGTGATCATTACAATTTAGTCACTGAAATTAATTTCTGATTATTTTAATTTAGTCTTTTAATTTTATTTTATTTTAATTTAGTCCTTATCAACATATATATTTAAGGTAAATATCAAATTTAGTCCCTCATAGTTTAGTAATTTTTATTTTAATCCCGTATTATGAATTATGGTTAAATCACACTGTTAGTACTCAAGTTTTATAATATTTCGAATTAGAACTTTAGTTTTATAATCTTACATTTAATCATTAATTTCATTAGTTTTTATTTTTTACTATGATTTTTAATATTTTACATTTTAATACTATATTTTTATTTCCTTTTATTTTAATCATTATTTATTTTATTATTATTATTTTTTTATTGTTTTAATTATTTCATTATTATTATTATTTATATAATATATATATATATATAATAAATAATATATTTTTTTATTTAAAATCCTATATTCATAAATTACTTTTAATAATTATGTTTTAATATATATTTATTTATTTTTCAATATTAAGAAATGGAAGTATTAAATAACTGATGTCCATTTCTGATATTTTTAAATAAATAAATATCCTATTGTTTTAAAATTATTAATTGTTATTTATTAATATCGAAGAAAAGAGCTGTCTTAAGGCACCTAGAAGTCCTTTTCTGATATTTTTAAATAAAAATATTTTATTTATATTTTATATAAATATATTTTTATATAATTATAACTTTGAAATAATAGGATTATAAATTAAATATATTTTTGAATTTTTAAATTTCCAATAATAAGAGACAATTTATAATTAATAAATACCAATTTTGGGCGTTGTGGGGGTACTAATCCTTCCCTAAACGTAACCGACCACGAATCCCTTTTTATTATTAAAAAGAACGAATTTTTGGTTATAAACGCAGATCAGTTCATTTTTTAATTGATGTTTTCTTAAAATTCTTTTAAAAAATAATTTTTAGGTATTCAACCTACCTGACCCAAAAGGCCGATGGCGACTCTCAAATTATTTTCAAAACCATTTATTCATATCAATTTTCCAACCAAGTAAAATTTCGTGCCCGTGCGAAAACCGGTTACGACAACCGGATTATCACAACCCTATTTGTTACTATTCTAACAAATAATTCCACTAAATGAAATGGCGGGAAACTTGACGCCCAGACTTGCAAATTACAATTCCGCGTTGATTTAATCCCAATCCCTTATTCTTCAAATTTAAACCCATTTGTTGGAAGAAATCGTCTATTCTCATTTCGTTCTCAAGATCCTTAACAATGGCTCAAATCAACAACAGCCCTGAAATCAAAGCGTCATCCCAAGAAATCCCCAAACTCGGTCACAATGGAGTTCAAATTACCCAAAGCCCAGTCTCAGTTTTGAGAGTCAAAAAGCTCTCTAAAAAAGCGGTGGTGCCCTCAAGAGGCTCTCCTCTGGCTGCTGGATACGATCAAGTGAACCCTTGGATTCACTACACATTTGCTGGGCTTTTTTTTTTCTTTTGAATGTCTTATCGTTCATGAATCTCAATTGGGATGAATTTTTATGGGTTTATCGTTCCGGTACAGTGCAATCGACACCAAATTGCCAGCCAGAGGAAAAGCGCTGGTCGCTATTGATCTAAGCATTTCAATATCCGAAGGGACCTACGCCCTTGTTGGTATAAATCTACTACGATGTTTGAATTTGAATTTGAATTTAAATTTGAATTTGAGTTTGGTTTTTCTACTTCTATAAAATTTTGGATTTTAATAATTGTTTCTTTTGTAGCACCCAGGTCTGGCTTGGCTTAGAAGCATTCCATTGACGTGGGCGCCGGTGTAATCGACGCTGATTACAGGGACCTCTTGGAGTAATATTGTTCAACCACTCAGAATTGACTTTGAAGTGAAAGAGGGCGATAGAATTGCGCAGCTATAATTGAGAATAATGACGCCTGATGTGTTGGAAGTTGAGGATTTGAATTCTACTACTAGAGGAGCTGGTGGATTTGGATCCACCGGTGTTTAAGTCCATGGGTTTATTTGGTTTAGGATTGTGGGTCGTTTCTTAATGGTTTAAATTTGCTGTTTTTGCTTACTGAGAATTTTAGTTGTAAAGTTTTAATGGATCAATGGTATATTCAGTAGTAGTAACTAAGCTCTTTCCCAGATCTTCACATTTCTATAAAAATAAGAATCACGGATTTTTGTACTTTACAGGGAAAGCAAAAGCCGTGGAAAATTTTCTCAGTGATACAAACAGAAACCATAAACAAATTATGCTTTAAATAGTTTTGGCCTTTGGGTATTTCTGTCTTTAGAGTATACAATTAAACTGTAACATATACGCTTGTGAAAAGATCTCTGGTAATCTCATCTAGAAGTCCATTAAGCACATACTTCTCGGCATCCCTTATAACATCATCTTTCTCATGAAACCCAACCATGGTGTTGTGCCAACCCAAGTCCCACTACAATTCAGATCTGGTTCCTTGTTGTATACATCGGCCTTCAGCATTTTTGGTAGGTAGTCTTCGAGGGAGAATCTTCTCTCCCGTCCCTTCCATATAACTTCAACTTCTCAAAGTCCTTGCACATTTGCTTGACCAACTCATCCCAGGATTTTGCTTTGTTTGATGTGATGGATACTTTAAGAAATGGGTGAACACTTACTTCCTGCCTTCTTCCTTTCCTTTTCATTACTTCGTAGCCACAGTCTAATACGAGCTTGCTGTCTTGTTCGTGATAGTTGTGACTGTTTGCATGGAGAATGCTGCTAGGAACGTTGAGTTTGAAAAGTGCCTGTGCTGTGTTCATAAATAGTTGGTTTTTCTTAAGTATCTGTTTAAGGTGATTTTCACTTTCTGTTAGTGGATCTGGCATCTCTGGTATGCTAGTCTCTGGCTGTGGGATATAAGAAATTCCTGCTCTCTCTTCATGAGTTCCTAAAAACCAGTGAACTTAAGCAGATAAGGTTTTTTTCTTCTTAAAACCACCCCTCAGAAGAAATAAAAAAGAAGGCATTTGATACTGCAATTACCATGCCTTAATTGATGGAATGATTAGGAAATAGATACTCATGCATGTTTGTTCATATGCCGAGGTTAGTGCTTGTGTTGTTGTGTGTGTATAAACACCTATTTTAAATTTTAGAAGTTGGTGTAAGCTCATCTTTCTAGAACCTTAAGTTAATTTTTCCTTTAAAAAAAAACCGTTCGTGGGATGTAACTGGAAAATTTGAGGAAAAAAGGTTGGAGATGCAAAATTGTACTTACTGTGTTGTAGATCAAGTACACTATCCTTAAACTCATGTTCATCGTCTCTGCTGAAATCAGATTCTTGATCTTGCTGTTCTTTTGTAGTCATTGGCACTGTATTCTGTTGCTACATAAGATCAAAACAGTTATTTGGGTTCCTCTTAGAATTATCAGAGTGGTTTTGTCTAATATAGTTGGTTAATGATTGTAGTTTTGGTGATCTTACGCTGTGTTTTGTAGCTAAGGCTTGTTCTTCACTTTGTCTTTGACATTCATCTTCAAAATTACAGCACAAAGTTGGATTTTGCTGTGCTTCTTTCTGTGGTTGGGCTTCGCTTGATGATTGTAGGCCTGCTACTGACACATTGGGTCTAAGGATCTGTGTTTCTACATCACTGCTGGCTTTCATTTGCTCTGTTTCTTGTGAGATAGCAAGTTTGTCCTCCCTTGTCTGTTTCTTCTCTTGCAAATTGGAACTTCGACGCATCAGGGTCCTTGGCATATTATAAACATTTGCACCTGTTTTGGTCATTACTTCATTGATCTTTCTAGAGGCCTCGAGTTTATGCCCTTTTGCACTTCTCGCTTTCATTGTAGTTTGAACTTGAACAGGTTTTTCATCCGCAGCAAATGGGATGTGAGCTTTTGTTGATTCAGATTCTGTATCCCGTCGAGAGGAATGCCGATTGGAGTTTCTGCTTAATGAATCTTTAATTTTGAAATTTAAAATTCTTGAACTCCTATCGCTGGTTGGATTTTCTTGGTGCCTACCATACACTAATCCATTGAATTGTGTTGCATCAACATGTTCGGTGGACCCTTCCCTACTAGTTGCTGCTCGATTCATTTGCAGCTGCTTCTTTTGCAAATTGGATGCAGTAGATATTGATTTGGAGATACTACTGGATATTAGTTCATGTTTCTTTTGTGTCTTCTCCTGCAATTTCAGTTTTTGTTGTTCCCTTTCGGCTGATTGTCTCTTTTTCTCTTGAAGCTCAGATGTTTGGAGCATGTGAACCTGTTGAAATCCATGATTATATTGCAGCTTTTGTTGATTGCTTAGAAGAAGCATGTTGGCATAACTATTTTCCCCATGAAGCATACTTTCACTGTACTGTGTCTTTTCCGGGAATCTAAGTGCAGCTTCTGATCTTTTATGGACAAGTGGTATCATCTGCTGCATCTCATCCTTGAAAACTGGTTCCTTGATTTCATTTCTTTCAGTGTACTTCTGTTCCCTCTGCTTTATACTATCATGGTTTCTCTCCTCTTGAATTTCTTTTCTGCTTCCAGAGCTATGATACGGTTGGGCAACATCACTTCGTTGTTTGGTAATCTTAACCATGGCCTTTCTTGAGCTTGTCATTGAATTTAAGTCTTCCAAGCCCTTTGAGGTGGTAATTTGTTGTTAACAGCAACCCTTGTGCTAACATTTCTAGTTGCCAATGTTTTTCCTCCTTGTGGTTTAACTGTATCCTGAACCGGTGGAATCTTGGTGGCAATTGTTGCTTTCTGTTTTGCCGGTGGGAGAGATGGGGTTGTGGAGTCTTTTGCCCTTTGTTCAGCTTTCTTGATGCTTTCCTGTGCTGGTCTCTTTGCAATTATCCCTTCTACTTTTTTATTTCCAAACTCCTTTTTTGTGGTGACCTTCGAATCTACATTTCCTGGAAGTTCATCGATCCCCATCAGCTTTGCGATTACATTTGGAATTCTGGACTTCTCTTGTTTGGACTGCAGTGGAGTTGAGCGAGTTTGTTCTGAGAATGCAGTGAGACTTTTAGCATCAGGACCATAGCTAACCGATCGCTTGTGAGAATGTAAATTTGAGGCAGCTGCAACTTTCTTGTCATGCTTGGAATTAGTAACCCCTGAAGAGTAGGTAAGAGCTGCCAGCCTCAGCTTAAGTTCTGTTCTTGCAACTTCTTGAATGTCATTATAATTTCTTGAGGGTCTATCAAATGAAAATATCGGCCTACTCACTTGCTTCTGACCAGCCATCATGACGGTGTTCTCATCATCATCTTCATCCTCCTCTAGCAGTGTTAACCGACTTTTTCTCTGTGGCGTTATTGAGTAATCCGAAGTTTCCTGCATGTTTACAAGCAACGTTAGAGACTCCTCCAAATCCATTGCTCCTTTCAACAGTTCCCTTCCAATTTCTATAGAATATCTGTTTAAGTTGAGGCCATTAGAGCAGTCGCGGAGGATCTGGTTTAGCTTTTGTGCACCCCTTGATATTTCTTCAATATGGATATGAGAGAGAATAGGGGGTTGGCTACTTGAAGGTTGCTGCCTGCTTACTGCTCTGTTTCTTCTTTCCATCTTCCCGTAGTCCACCTGTCTCCTACCAATGTTCAGTAGAAAACTGAAAATTGAACTAGCTCCCGAAGATTTTGTTCTTATCTTTCCTCCATTTTCAAGTGCGAAATCCAGGGCCATCGACAGATCTCCCATTTGTTGTGGCTTCTTGCCTCCCTCAAAAGGAACGATCTGATTCGATGCCTGCCCAGTGCTGACTGATTTCCTGCCTCCACTAGGCCTGTTTCGTGTGCTTCCAGGTCTAGAACCAGTCTGAAGGAAGCCAAACATTTAACTAAATGAAATTGTTATTTCTGATTAATTTGCTGTATGAACTGGCCATACTTTAGCTGTGGAAACTTACAGCATTGACTGCCTCTGGTTTACTGGATGATTTATAGGTTGACTTGGAGTAAGCATATGCATCTGCTCAAACATGCAACAAAAGGAACAGGTAAAATTATGCATTTAAGTTTCTTTCTTACGGGGTTTTGCTAGCTAGATAAAGCTCTATTTTCATGAGTCCAGTCTTACACGGGGTTCATTAACTTAACATCACCAAACTGATAAACTTCTCCTGAGCAAGGATTTCCATACATCATTTTGCTATGTATTACCTCTCTTTCCCCATTAATTTAAACTCATTCAGAGATTCTTTCCTTTATGTCATACTATGCAGTAAAAGTTCTCATTTTTAAGGTATACTTTAGTTGAAATGGTTCTGAATCATAGTATCTCCAGAAAGAGAGAAGAAAGATGGTAATTGTTGCTAAAACGATACATTTCAACAGTTGATTGCATGTGCATGATTTCTCTATCTGAGTCTTTTCTGAATTTGCATTCATTAGCTTCAGAAAAGTGGAACAGTAGTCATGCCTCCTGTTTTTCAAACTTCTAGAAGACGTTGAATAAGAACCATGATCCATAACCAAATTCTAATCACATTCACAGGGGTTTGACTGATATCTTGGAAGGATTTTGGAATCCTTTGACAACCTAGCGTGTTTTAAGCAGAGATTTCAGGAAACACTCACCTGCAACCTTTGGATTCGAACCCTTTGAGTTCTGAGAGGCAGACATCCGCTCCTTCCGCAACCGAAGATCATCTAACAGCTTCTGGGAAAAATCTGATCTCTTTTCCATGTTTGGTATTGAAATGCAAACAAGGTACCACTCTTGAACTCTCTTTGAGCTAGAATAAAGATTAAAATTTCTTTACATTTATGTTTTGCTCATTACTCTAGGAACATGAATGTATTTTTCCCCCGCTTCCATCTCTTTTAGTTGGGAGAGTACTTTCAAAATTGGGTAGGCTGGGGAGTCTAGTCTTGCTTGCAATAAAAATGGAGTTTGAAAATTTTTATGTTATAGGTTGACGTGAAAGTTAGCTCTATATCTCTCTATGGAGGGTCTCTTCAAGTATTTTCTGACTTTGATTCTAATCCAAGCAATGGCAGAAAAAAAGTTAAATTCAAAGGGCTTCCATCCCAAGCTTTCTTTATCAGCATCTTCCCCTTTTTTAATTTATCACAATCCCTCTTTATTTCCCTTTAGTAATAACCATTGCATCAAACCAATGTTCAATAGGCAAATTGGTCTCCAAAATACGAGGTTGTGAACTCTGCATTGAAACTATTGATTTGCTTTGGTTTAATATCTTATGGTTGGAAATAACGGAATAAAATAAAGGGTAAAATACATGTTTAGTATTTAAACTATTACTTTTGTATAATTTTAGTACCCAAACTTTATTTTTTTCAAAATAATACCTAACGTTTAGTTTAAGTTTCAATTCGCTATCTCATTGTTAAAAAATTAACATAACTGTTGATGTGGTATTTTTTTAAAAAAATTCAATGATGATGTTTCATTACCTTATGGTAACACATCAATATCACCATTAAGTTTTTAATAGAGGGTACCAAAATAAAATTTAAACTAAACGTTAGGTATGATTTTGATAAATGAGTACCAAAACGAAATAAAAGTAATAGTTTAGATACTAAACGTGAGTTTACCCTAAAATTAAGATAGTTAACAATGACAGGATTTTGAAAAGGTGATCTGAGAAGGGAGAGATGAGAGCCGACACTTTTGGGAGCTTTTTAACTGATCCCACCATTACAAAAGAAACAAAATTGGGTGTCAAGTAACTAATCAAAGTGACAAAATTGCATTTTTTTTAACTTCAATAAAGGTGGAACTTTACATGTGGTTGATTTCTTTATGTTGTTCAGATTTTGATATTTTATGTGGTGGGATATATTTAATTTTTTTTAATAATTTTGAAGATATTTAAAAAACGCATTTAATTGGTGATGTGTGGTTTACACTGTTTTTGCTTTTACTTCTTGGTCTTTATCTTGAACTAACAACAGGAAAGCCATACTTTTGTAAAGGGCGGAAAATGGGATAGCAGATGGAATTTCTGATCTATTTTGGTGTGTATATCCAAAAAAAAGGCTTCAAATGGAATTCCTAGCACATAAGCGCATCAATTAGGACAGGGTGTACCATCCAAAAGATCAATTGTCATTTTCGTTGGTTATAATAAAGTAATGATTAGTGTGGGCAAAGATTCATTTAATATAATTGTGTAACTATCTAGTGGCATTAGTGACTTTTTTTTTCTTAAAATGTTTTAAATAGTTGTGTTTAGGGATGTGGATACAAGATCTGAATTTGACAGATTTTGATTGGTTTGGCCCTAATTCAATCTTATTAGGTCATTTTTTTAAAATTTTGAGTTAGGTTAGATTCAAGTTTAGAGTGAAAAATATTCTACTTGGCCCAAAAAATAATGTAACTATACATTTTATATTTAAAGATAATTGCAATAATTCTTATATCTATATTATTTGTTTTTCAATTAGATTTCTATTTTATTGAATAAAATTTAAAAATTATATATATATATATATATATATATATATATATATTGTGTCAAGTGAGATGTAAATTTTATCTTAAAAGATCAGTCGAATTTTGGGTTGGGTGAAGTCGCTCTAAACCTAAATTGGATCATGTTTCGAGTTACTAAAAATTCAACTCAATTTAACCTATGTCTATCCCTAAATATATTTGCATGATGTATATTACTAATAGGTTAAGAAATTTTGAACAAATACTCTAAATTATTAAAGAAAATATCTATTAGGTACCCAATTTTGGTACAGGCTGGTTTAAATCCATCAGTCTGGACCCAGGTTCATTTAAACTACAGCGTTGGAGTTGGGTCTTCTTCATTCTTCCCTCTTCAAGTTCTATTTCATTCTGTTTTGTCCACACTAACAGTTGACTTTGTTTCTGCCTAATTGACATTTCTTCAATTTTATTTAAGGCTATAATTGAGAACCTTAAAAAAAACAATAAAAACAAAAGTTGGGTAAGATGTTACCGTCACCTTTCTTTAAATGTTTTATCACATTGAATGTAAACTATTAAAGCTCTATTTGGCAATGTTGTTTAAAATCATTTTTAGATAAAATTTATTTTATCCGTAAAATTAACGTCAAACGAGTAATTTAAAAAAAATACAGTGGAAATGATAGTTTCAAACTAACAACAAAAGCTAGAATTTCTAGATTTTTCGTTCCAACTTTACGCTTAAAACTAATTTATATTTTTACCCTTACTAATACATGAGCTCTATTCAATGTATTTACATTTTATTTTAATAATTTAATACATTCTTAAAAAATAATTATTTATAAATAAATAAAATTTATGATTTATATATTAAAATATTAATAGTGAGTTATTTAAAATATATTTTTATTATAATTATATATTTTTATTATAGTTTAAATTGATATAATTCATACATGATAATATCTCTTGAATTTATTATAGATTAAATTGATATAATTTATATATAAGTGTAAATATAATTTAAATGTTATATTTTTTGTTTGGTGAATAAAAGAAGTAGCAAGCTTTAAACAGTGGCCACCATATAAGACCAGCAAGCATCCATCTGCAGGGTCGAAACAAGCTTCACGGGTGGGGTAGAATAAAAACGGTTCGCCAGCCCTCCTAAACTAGTTAATTTAGCAAGTTGATCAGCAGCTTTATTTGCATCTCTGCAAGCGTGGGTGAAACGAACATTCCGTTCACTCCTCATCAGATCAAGCACACGATTAAGAAGGACGAAAGAGATCCGAGCTTGAGTTTTCTGTTCCATGAGCCGAATAATTTCCAAACTGTCAACTTCCACAATTACACTCGCCAAGGTTCCACGCATGAGACAAGCCTTCATACACACCCAAAGCTCTGCTTCAACAACCGAACAAATACCAAATTGCTTCGAAAAACTAAGCAACCAATCACCTTGCCAGGTACGGATAAGCCCCCCACAAGAAGCATAATCCGTAATACTATCATGAGCACCGCTGTGTTCACCTTACACCAATTTAGGGTCGGTGGATTCCATCGAGCGTTAACATTTTGAATCCGACTGGTATTCGGATGGGCAGCCATAACAAAATCAAAAGCGTGAAGAGCTTCACGTTGTAACCTCCTGCTATTCATCAAAACACTCTCCTCCTCAATGGTATGAGGATAAAAAATTCTCCTATTACGGTGAAGCCATATAGACCAAATGATAGCACCAAAAAGAAAATCCCCCTCGCACGCGTAGAACCCCAGAGACGTTAAATTAATCCGAATCCAGCTGTGATATCCCTCGAAAGGAAATCCGAAAGCTTATCCCTTTTAACAACACTGGACCAAGTTGCAATCGCAAAGGGACATTTTCGAAAAAGACGGTCAATGTTTTCTCCAAACCTCCCGCAAACGCCACAAGAAGAGTCCGTGCTCATGTGCCGACGAACACGTTCGGCATTGGTGAGAATACGCTCAGACGATAACAGCTAAAGAAAAATCTTAATTCGTTGTAAGCCACGATATTTTGAGATAACCTACCAAACTTTGTGTGCATATTCTCCTTGTACACCTACACACATGTCATAAGCATATTTAACTGAAAAACAACGGTCTAATCTCCATTTCCATCCCGGTGAATCCATCCTATCACTTGGCAACAGAGGCATTGTAGCTGCCAGACGGAGCAAAACAGAGTCCAGTAGAAGGTTTCTAAGAATAGACCAACGCCACTCCACATTTTGATCCATCATGCACGCAACACTTCGATTAGGAAGGGAGATTCTCATTGCCTGATCCACAACATGATTCCGCAAAAGACCCAGATTGCTAAGCCACGTATCACCCCATAGATACTCATATTCGTCCGAGGTTTTATTTTGAGTTTGTCATTTTATATATATGTGTATAATAATATATATAGTATATAGTATATATATATATTATAATATATTATAAATATATATATATATATATATATTGAAAACATATTTATAATATATTATAATATATTATTAATTATTAATTTTTATTTCTATTTTATTTTATCTTTTTTTTTATTTTTTTTTGTTTCAGGTATTGATTCAAGGTCCAATCCGAAGTCCAATAAAAATTCAAATGAAAAGTTCAAGTCTGGTCCAGTCGAAACAACAATGATGGTTAGGGTCCATGTTTAAGACCTGTCTGCCTGACCCAACAGAAGGGAGCCCAGTTAGCAGACCCATCTGTCCCAACAGACCGCTAAATCGGGCCCAATAAAAGATCCAAGGCATATTGGGGTCTTATACACAATCTCCAATGCAACTCATCAAGGGCCGTTGGATCTGGCCCTTTGATCCAACGACTAGGGATCATCATGGAACATTCCAGAACATAGAAAAGTCACTAGCAAGCCAACAGAAACTGCGTGAAGACCACACACCAATCAGAGCCTCATTCTTGGATTTTACAACTGTGATTGCTGGAAGATTTTCCAGAACACGTTGAGACAAAAAATGAAAAAAAATAACTAAAACCCCACACATGGCAACAAATCAAGCAACTCGAAGGTGGTAACAACCAACATGGGAACGAAACCCAAGATATCAAGCAAAGAGAAACAAATCGAAGCAAAAAGGGAATAATCCCTTGAATCAACAACAAATCTTGATCGCTTAAGGATTCAAAGTTATCGGATTTAAGGGAAAAATATTCCTCCTTCAAGCTATATAAAACCCCTTATGAAATAAAGGAAAGGGAACCAACGATTGAGAGGTGGTTCCATTTAAAAACCCTAAAATACAAAAAGAAAAAAGAAAGGGTGCCACTTAGCTCGCATCGTGTTAGTTGCCGGGGAAAGGAAGAGCACCATTTGGAAGCCAAAATGCCACCGGAAATCTCAAGGGCCATTCGAAAAGGTAAAACCGCGGAAATCTCAAGGGATATTCGAAAAGGTAAAACCCGAAGGAAATTTTCATAGATCTGAGTTGAGGGCTTCGTGGCATGTTTATTTTCTAG